CCCGTTTGCTTTACCTTAGTTCTCGAGAGAAACTATTCTTTCCATTCGTCAACATCTTTAATGTTTATGTGAGCTGTTGCTAGTTAGTGTTAACTTGCCATTTTGCTTTACACCTCATCACCATATCGTTCCAACGTCTTCACACTGTTGATTTTTGCATGTCTGCGCATCATATAAAAGCCCCGGTTGTTTCGAAGGTACAGAAAAAATAGGATTCTTTGGAACCAGCATTGCAGTGCAACGATATATTTAATGTGGTGAAATAAAAACTTCCTGAGTTCGAAGTATGCACAATTTTTTTTTTCTCTTCGTAGTTCCACTGCGCATGCGTATCGTCACATGCGTACCTCCACCATGAAAGGTTCTCCAATGGCACGAGTGTTTCTGACGGTGCTAAGCTAATCCCTTCACCACTTCCCGAATTTGCGGTTTGAGCGTCAAGCAGTCGTAGACATAGCCGCATTTATTTTGGGTCTGGAGAGCCGCGGCACCGCTTTAAGGTAAGCACGAAGATCTGCGTCGCCGCGTGTAACGGTGATGCGATGACAACGTACAGGCGAAATAAAAAGGCTGGCAATACTTCAAATTGAACTTGTGGGTTAGCGCATGCGTTCGTGACGACAGAGCATATTTCGTATCGAAAAAGGCAAGCGTTCATGCATGCCATGGTCCACATTCACCCGTCGGCGACGAACCTTCTCAGCAAGAATAAAGTCTCCACTAGCGGCGACATCGATAGAAGCCTCGACTTCGGATACCAGCGGTACGCGTTGGTAGCTTCGCTCTTATCAAGCGATGAGTTGGGAACGCTAATAAAAGTACTTGCGCCTTTTAAGCACTCCTGCAGAAGCACGATGCGAGACGTCGCATACTGCGGGCGTCACATTGTTGCGTCAACAAAAGTTCAGTCCCTCGCGGCACCGGGTTCACAGCGTCTCAGCCGCGACTGCGTCGACCGCTGTGGCTTCCTGTTTCAAGCGCTTCAGGCTTCAGCCGCGACTGCATCGACCGCGTAGGCTTCGTGTTACAGGCGGCGGGCGCCACGTTTGCCTTACCACAGCAGTGCGAGTGACGTCATGTCATGTGTCATTTCGCGAACCAATTAAACAACTGGTTTTGTTTTGGAGTGGAAGAGACGTCATGTCACGTGGCATACCAAATTGCCTTGGCGGAAGTGACGTCATGTCACGTGACAAACGGGCGTCGCCAGGTGCTGTAAGGGATATGGTTTGCTTATACGCGGCCCGGCCGCCGGTAAGAGGGGGCCGCTGGCCGCAGACCCCGCACGGGCAAACTCCAGAGAGGCTGCACGGCCAAGCTCAGCGCGGCGCGGCCACTTCACGAGAGCGCGCGCTCGGCCGTCGGCCGCTACCTCGGCAGTAGCGAGATGTGGCCGTCCAGGCCAGTACGCCGCAGACGAACTAAGGGAGCGAAAGAACGACGTTCATGCTTTCGTATTCTCAACTCATAAAAAATGTTTAGGTGTCCTAAGAATTTTTTGTGACCGCTTTGCTTTGGGTTCTGACAGGATTTCAAGTATAAAGGAGGCTATGGCCGGTACAATTTACAAAAAATAGATAAACTTTTTTTTTGCGTTTGCGGCACACTGGAGCGCGGGGTAAAGCGCAGAGAGAGGGTGCTCCTCAAGGACAGCAGGTTGCGAGGAGTCGGATATCCGACTCTGACTTCTCGCAACTGCTCGCACCTGGTTTACAGCTTTTCTCCCTGCTCCCCTGTCGTCGACGGCCTCAACTCGGAGTGCGCACCAGACGACAAGTGAAAACATTTATCATAATCCGTCGTTGAGGTTGATCTAAAACGTTGTCAATCCTCTCAAAGCAGCCAACTTTCACAATGGTCAAGCCGCGCGTCGTGGCGACGGACCACGGAGTCGACTGGCCAATGGAAAAGCCCGGGTGTGTCGCTTTCGACAAGACAAACGGCGAAGTGCAGTAGCGATCGCCGGAATTTCTCGATTCTAAAATCGGTCGTGAAAAAAAAATGTTTCTTTTTTTTTTTTTTTTTTTTTTTGGGGGGGGGGGGGGGGGGTTTCGTTGTCTTTTTGGCGCATGCCTAGTGCAGCAATGATGATTGTTAAGAGGCAGGAAACTCGCTTATATAGGAGAATACCAAAAAACTCTCACTGGATGTCTGCGCAGGTAGAATAATAATCTGTGAGTACATATAGCCTGTACACGAGTGTACTCGACTGCAGATGTTTAACCGCAGCTCAAAATGCATATTGCATTGCGGCGTTTATCATGAAAAAAAAAAAACATTTAAACTAGATGTTTGCTCTTGTCATTTTCGCGTTGTTATGCCTGAAAATTAAAGCGACCGATTAATCGATTAATATTTCGATTAAAGGGTGCCACTTAATCGGGTTAGAGTTTTTAATCGATGCCCAGCCCATATCACAAACCTAATAAGCGAAACAAACTGTCCGATATCTTAAATTGCTAAGAAACGGTAACATTTCAAACGCGCAAGAAGCCTTCGTGTGTTCGTGTCGTTTTTGCTTCCGACATTCTCTGAGTTATACGGTTTGTCTGTAATATCCGTCAGTTCGTTTCCACTCTGACAATATCCCTTGAGGAGTTCAGTGCCAGCTAGTTTAGGGAATGTGCGTATAATGTGCACTCTCCACAAATCGTCCACTTTATGAAAATCTTGCAACCCGTCTTAATAACCGCTATTTTTTTTCTTTTTACGAATGATACAATAAATGGGCTGTCCGTGACCTGCTGTTGTGGTAACTTCACGTGACCACCGTCTGCTAAATTGGGGGGTTGGGGGGGGGGGGGGGGGTGGCAGAACGTTGCGCTCCAAATTAAGTAGATTTGCATCCCGCAAAATTTAGCGGGCCATAAGCCCGTTAAATTTAGGGGGTGACGTCACATCTGTTTGGCGTATTTATGTGCTTCTTTTTTTGTGTGTGTGTATATTTAATAGAGTCATGCCTATAGTGTATTTTATAGCATGAAAACTAACCCTAGCAGCACACTTCCCCGGCTCATACTTGGGCCAGTTTGGCACAAGCTTCGGCCGGGCTTCAGCCAAGTTGGCTCGAGCTCGCGCCAATCTGGCCCAAGCCTGGGCCGAGGAAGATTACGTTGCACCAAAAAAGACTGCGAAAAAATGGCAGGTCAAAGCGTGAGGTTCCGCTGTAATCCTGAGGCGTATCCGACTCTGGAGCTTCACATTATCTGAGTCAGAGTTTGGCTGGGACTCAAGTTGAATTGGTGCTTCACTGATTTAACACGAACACCTTATGGGTTTAGTTCTTAACTTTGCAACCAGGCCCCAGGGGCGCGATAGTTCCTCCTTTAAAGAAGCAAACAAAAACACTGCGTATTAAAGTTTTTTTTTTTTAACCGATCTTGTTAATTAACGTGAAAACAATATGTGCCAATGGGCCTAGGAAGCTGAAAAAAAATGTTTATTCTCTCCAAAGTTATGCATTCATCTATTGCGCACCTACAGTAGCTCAGACGAAGATGCAGGGCAGGACATTTTCGGAAAATGGGAATTTCTATGAGGTCGTATTTTTTCGGTCACCACCCATGCTAATGCTGTCCCGTACCATATAGTCTATACCTATTCAAATGTAGTGCAAGCACTTTAGATAATCAAATTTCGTAGCAGTCTGGCTCCACATCATTGCCGCTAACTCTAGCCACAATGACGATGACTGGTAAATCATCTTCCGCAGCCATCCGCTTCTCCAACAACATCGCGTGGCAGAGTAAGTAATCGGGCCAGTTGATTCATATCGCTGATTAGAAAAGGCAACGGCGCCTTTTTATATCAGTATCACTAACCGCGACCCTAAGGTCCAAAGATCCAATCAAGAAATAAATGAATGACGTCGTAAATATTAATATAAAATCGAAGATAATGTCGCAGGTTAAGTGACTAGAGACGTCACGCGTCACGCGACCCAACGACGTTATCACAAAACAATTCTATTCAGTGCGGCTTTGAAATGGCCGCCCGGGAAGTGCCAAAAAAACTCAGCCTTCACTACAGTTAAGTGCCCCGGAGGCCAAGGCACCTTTGAACTTATTTCTGGCGGAGCAGGTGTACACGCCCTGGTCGCTGACCATGAGTTCGTGGATCTGGAGGTCCCGTTCTTCAACACCCTGTGACGGCTCCCGGTCAGGGCATCTGCTAAAATGGCAACACTAGTCGACGGGGAAAGGGGGGGGGGGGGGGGGGGGGGGTATGGTTATTGAGAATACGATTCGACCGATTAGCATAGCTTAGGACAGGCGGGATAGAGGAAAATTGGGACTCCCTTCCGTGTGGTTCTAGCCCGAAATGTCAACCCTGTCTCCCAGTGGGCCCGGTGTTGGAGTGTCGCCGACTATTTTTGACTGGAGGAAAATTCTTGCTCGCCGCGGGGAAGGGGGGGGGGGGGGGGAGCGAGTGATGTTTGTGTTTTTTCCCCTTAACCCCCAAATGTCATTCTGGCGATATTCCACATTTCCTGGTTATACTTAGGAAAACGCAGAGGGGAAGCGAATTGCCTTAGAAGGACAAGGGGATGAATAATACTTTGGGTTTCCTGGATACGTAACGCAAGCTACCGCCCGTTATAAACGATACAGCCATTAACATCGATCCATCCATCCAGCCATGCATTCATCCATCCATCCATCCGGTATGCACCGGATGGACCGGGGCCGGAGCAGGGCGGAGGTACGCGTTGGGAGAGGAGGGCCCGCCGCTCGGAAGGGCGCGGTCCCCACATACTGGACCATGAAAGTTTTTATGGATATTGTTAGTAAACTGCAACCCTTTAGATTGCATAAATAAAAGAACGACACAGATGTAAATTTTTAGTTCTTTATTTTATAGCTGCGTAAGTCATTGTGGTAAAGCAATTTGCTAGCACTTCTCATTTTTTAAGAATGTTTAGTAAATGTTGAAAATGTGGATCCTCATCATGGACGCAATTTTACTGTTTATGAAGAAGTGATGTCCGTCCTCTCAAGAATTCAGCTCACAAAGTCCACTTCGCATTTTTTGACGCATTTTCCATTTTGACATGTCTATAAATAGAATAAAATCTTTTTTATAAAGCTGGTCATATTTACCAATATTTCATCAAATATTAGAGCTCAAGCGATGGTTTTAGGTATATATAGAGTGAACCTTCAAAACGTTTGCACTCCCATAGTTGTTGACTAGTTATTTAGAAGTTTCATGAATTACTCGTCACTTCACTTCAGCCCTACGCGTGCGTACTGTGACATGATTCAACGTGACAACGTGATGCAAAAAAGCGATTTCCGGTCGGACACTTTTGACCTTAATTAAGCTTACAGACGCTCTATTTGTCTTGTATACCTCTCTCATTGAAATGTGTGTAAAGCTAACTCTATACGAAGTTCGCAAATACCACATATTTAACACAATTTCGTTCAACTATGCATTCCTGACAGCACTGGTCTATTAATTTTTTCTCGGAATGGATTCACGTAACCTTGATAAATACATTACTGAGTCAGTCCAAATGTGTAGAAACCAATTCAAATTTATAAACTGTGACGTGCGGGGGGGGGGGGGGGTATTTATGTGCAAGGCTTGGGGGAGAGGGAGATTGCAAAAATGTTTGACGTCACCAAGGAGTGTTACATTTTTTTCTCCCGCAGAATATAGCGGGCAATATTTTCTGCTGCATGCGGCGGCCACTGTTATCTAAAAAAAAAAAAAAATCAACTGTGACACACTCTGCGTCCACAATATTTTTTCGGGACCCTAAGCGTCTTTTTCTTTTGAAGAAAAGCTTTCTGTAATAAAAATGCATAATCCCCTTAAAATTCAGAAGAGACAGAAAGTACATCGAACATTCATCGTAGAATTGTAACGTTTCCAATCACTTCAGAAGTTTCAAAATAACAGACTTTTTTGATGGTTTCAAAATGAGCCTTTTATACCCATTATTAATATTTTTTTATTACAAATTCATCAGAAACACCGAATTCCGAACTACTCATCTCGATACACCAACTTTGGTAAACGTTCCTCCTGTCAAAGATTTGGTTCTTCTTGGTAGTGAACTTGCAAAAACAAATTAAACGAAGACAGTTGAGACTGCCTACTTGTAGGAATGCGAGAGCATTCCTACACGCACCGCATTCCTACAAGCAGCGCGCCATGTCTCTTTTTCACACGGCGCTCCAGTGGTTACATAACGCCCCCCACTGCGCAAGCGCGGCGCGCCCGCCGGCTCCGCGGCTTCTGTGACGATGCATCTGCGTTGCTGTGCTTTACTTTGTGTTTTATTCCTGAGGCGCGTCCGTTTTAATTTTGAGCATCCCGCCAGCTTCGGTGACGAAGTATCTGCCTTGCGGTGGTTTTGGCCAATGGAAATTTAGGTTCCGTTTCGCGCAGACAATCGGAATTTAGATGCCGTTTTTCTATGCTACAGACAACGAATACAGACAACGCCGGCTTCGCCCCATGGAACAATTAATGCTTCCGCATTAAAAAAATCTTAATTAGAAAGGGAAGGAGAAAACAGTAACAATTCTAAGTAATTCAAATACTTCAAAAATAATCAAATTACTCCTGTGATTATATACTAATAAACGCGTATTTAAAGGATTACAAAATTACTCCTAAATGCAATCGCTTACAAGTAATTCGATTATTTGAAATAAGTACCGTGCAAGTTCGATAATGGTGTCACCAATGTAGCTTCAGGTAATGCCCATCTAAATTTCTCCTGGAAATCGTAATGCACAAATATCTTTGCATGGACATTAGCGAAGACCGAAAAGAGGATTGGGACTGCCTAGGGACTGCCTAGGGAGGCAAAATGTTAGAACCGTCTCCGGATGCGCATCACTTGTTCTGTAGAAAACAAGTTCGACCGTAGGAGGCTATGGAGGGGGAGGGAAGAAAGACTGGCCGCCTCCACCCCCCCCCCCCCCCCCCCAAACCGACCCCTCCCTTCCCGCCTCTTCCCCTTCTGGATGCGTCCTTGCGTGCAGGAGTGGTGATAAGACTTACCTGTCCCTCTGGTCCGCAAGGGATGTCGTTTCTTAGTCTTAGTGTTTTTGTCACCTTAACATTTTCTGGGTTCCCACTTTCTGTGTAAATTTTTTCACATACAAAGGTGCAGCCACGGAACTCTGCTAACTGGGACAGAGAAGGTTGGCGAAATATCTATCAACAAAACTCGCAGCGCATAAAAATTAGCCATTTTGTTTAAGACTGAACTGAAGACGTTTGAGAACACCGTCCTCTGGATACAACGTTCTATGGGAAACCGACATCTCTTATTAAGTGGAGCGGCATCCACAATGTACCTTTACGCCTTAGACGTTAAAAAATTATTTAAACAAAACTGCGAATTTTAAAATTTTTTTTAAAATGATTGTTTTAAAGTAACGTTTGTCTGGAACGCCCAATAAGACAGCACATTCTGAGTACCAATGAGTTGTTTCAAGTGAAAAAAAAATTATTTAGCATTATTCTTTGCACAGACGATTTTACTGTAGTCGGTTACAAGTCAAAAGGTAGCGGCAAATGCCCCTCAAAGGGAATCTTGTATTCTTATAATGCAATTAAATGCAAAGGGGCAAGCGAGCTGGACAATAATGATGAAAATAATCCCTGGAGAAGGGGAACAAGAGGGACAAGGGACAAACATAAATCTTCAAACACAGCTAGGTGACTGGTGAGCGACCGAAAAAATCCGCCCGGTCCGAGTATCGAACCCGGGACCTCTCCATTACAAGTGGAGCGCTCTACCAACTGAGCTCCACTTGTAATGGAGAGGTCCCGGGTTCGATACTCGGACCAGGCGGATTTTTTCGGTCGCTCACCAGTCACCTAGCTGTGTTTGGAGATTTATGTTTGTCCCTTGTTCCTCCTGTTCCCCTTCTCCAGGGATTACTTTCGTCAATCTTGTATTCCTCCGCCACCAATCGCGTCCCGTTGTTTCCGTGACGTCACGACCTGCCCTAACCAATCTTGTTCTGGCAAATGAATATTTTCAACATGGCTGCCGGGCAGATTTTCTACGACTCGAGTATCTTGCAGCAATTATTCTGTTTTTAAATGCGGTTTTTCACTTACCCGAGCATACGTCGCTAAGTCGTAACCGCGTCCACTTTTATTCGCAATAGGTTTTGCGCGAAAGCGTGAGAATCCAGCGATAGCATTGCCATCGAAAATTTCGATGCGGGAGTAAGGCCTAGCATCGTACATACGTCGAACGCCGTCTGCTTCTCTGCCTCAGGTTGCGCCTCGACATCGTGAAGGCATCGGCTTTCCTTCGCAGTGGTTTCCGTGGAGCGACGTTAAAATGCAGCGGTCACCAAACTGTTCTTTATAAGTGCAGTGGGCTGTGCGGGAGGGGCATAAGTGAACCGCGAACACAGTAAGTGTCTTTACCCAATTTCGACCGTATCTTTGGTGGCGTTAATAAATAGTCTGTCTACTGAAATGACGCCTTCGAAGCAGTATACATTCATCTGTGAAACGTGGCGTCCTTGTCAAGTTTCCGCGTCGCAATCAGCCGCACGGTAGTCTATGACTGCGATAGTACCCGCGGGTGCACCCTCTTTCGCAATAATGAGCTGTTACATACAGGTGGCACACAAATGATAAAGCCAGTGATGTATATGTTGCAAACATTTAATTGATATTGTTTTGGACGTTAAGAAGCTGATGTCTTCTTTTGGGAGAAATACCAGAGAATTTGAGGGAAGCAGATTTGGTTCTCTCAAATGCTTCCGAACATTCTGCTTGCTCTCGAGGCGCTGTCAGTCGTATGTTTATGCTTCGAAACTTGGGTACGTGACGCGTGTACCTCCACTCGCGTCGCGTCGCGGCCTGAGGTATTACCTTTAAACACGCGCGAATTTTTCCAATTTACTTTAGAAGGAAAATGTGTCCACAATATTGGATCGCAGCATTGGTTTAATAATTTGTAAAAGATGAAAAGTATGTCAATAAAAATTGATTGTAAGGGCAGCTTCCCGCTTCATGAATTGTGGCTTTCTTATATGCGAAATATTTGTTTAAATCAAGAATTGAAAACATACTGAATACTCATGACGTCCTGATCTTGGTCCGAATGCAAGTGGCAGAATGATTTGTCTTTATAACAATAAAATCAACAATGTTTGAATCAAGCAACAGCTCAAACCGCCTAATTACATTTCTGATGTATGTTTATGTCTGTATAATACCAGGCCGTAGCCGCGAACGAGCTCTTCAGAATCTGCCATCGTCTTTCTGGTCTACCTTGGCAAAGACAGACTCGTGTAAAAAAAATTGAGCTTCTTGGAGGCGACCTTGCAGTCTTCATTGTCAGAGCCTCCATGGAACCATTGGAAAGAAGGGTCCCTGTTGTTTCGACACGTTTCATCAACTTTTTACGACTCTCGTTTCATCGATACTGCCACACTGTGCTGTGAAGTTTCATCGACACACAAATTGCACGCTGTAGGAACATTTTGTTGTGCGTTTATCACTGAAGCACATATTAAACTATCCAACCCACCCAGTTCACGACGCTTTGCGGCGACAGTCTCCAGCAGTTCATTACAAAAATGTGGACCCACCCAGCCCACCCGTACTTACATGTACCCGTACCCTTGCTCACCAACAAAGCAGCGCACCCCTAACCAAACGAAGATCTTGTCGACGTGACATAGCAAGATATGTCGATGAGCGAGTGTCGATGAGACAATCTGTTGATAAAACGTCGCAGCGCTGAAACAAACTGTCGGGGAAATGTCATTTGATGAAATGAGTGGCACCGCACAAAAAGCCTGTTCCCGAGCCGCGTTACTTAAACACTATCACAAGCATCATTTTTAGATACCCAATGCCAGAACAAATGCACTCTAAGCAAAGAAAAAAATTAATTTCACGCCCCTCTGCTGTTAAAGTTCACGACCTGGAATTGGATAAGGGGCCATGAGGCAAATTTGAAATGGTTCTGGACTGGACAAGATGGACTCATTATCGGCGTCATTGGTGCAAAAGTATGACGAGTACAGCGGGCTCAGGCCTGAGAGCTGAGGGTTAACGTGGGGCTCCCCAAGCCGAGGGGTATGGCGAGTTCACACCGACAGTGGGAAGCGACCACCTTCCTATCTGATCTCGTTGCAAGCCTTAGACCTCAGCCTTCAAAGGGCTCTGCATGATTCGTCGTATGGGATAACTTCTTAGCAGCCCATTAGACTGATCCTACAATTTCACTCCAACAGTACATCCCCAGGCCTTCCAGGAGGTGACCCACTTGATCCGGGTGCGAGAAGGGACTCCAAATCGTGACGTGCACTATATAGTTGACCTCTGGGTCAGCTGATGGGGGCACTACAGGGGCACCAGCGGAAAATGCGATTACGCCTGTTACAGCCTATAGCATCACAAAACCCAGAAATACCTCCATTCATTCTAAAGCAGCTTTAGAAGCCACCCAAGCACTCGAAAACAACCTTTCGGTACTTCACAACTCTGCCCTTGGCAACAAGTCTGGCTGCAGTCTGTGCATTGTGGTTCTTATCGGCTTTGAAAACGTTAGATTTAATCTTGTACATTGTACTAGTCCGGGACGCTCAAAACTAAGGTCTCTATGGAAGACCGCTTCACTTCATCACAGCGTTTCTGCAAGACGGACAATATCAAGCTTGAGCTAGGCCCAGTTAATGGCATTGGCATTCCCCAGATCTCCGTCCTCTCACCAATCCTTCATCAATGTTCTAGCGGACGTTTCTTCACGTCAAGCAATTAGTGCTTTTTTTACGATATATTTCAAGCGAGTACAATGGCGCCTCCTAAATTCAGGGAATCTATGCCGCATTACTTCAGACCGCACTTCGGCGCACAGGGCAGCCTGCTCCTCATCAACCACGAGGTGTTCGCCAACTCGCCAAAGTGCGACCCAAGAGTCATAATGGCCGTCGACTTCAAGGGAACTTTTGACGCGTCTATTACGCTTCGAAACGGAGCACTAGCACTCGCATTTTGCTCTCCACTGTGCTAACACAAGGTATTGTTATTCCCAGGGTGGCCTCAGTCGTGTGAATGGCCACAGACGTCCTGTTTATGTTTCAAAACGAGATCATTAGCAGTTAGAGTTAGCTGCACACAGTGCTGACAGACGTTATTGTTATTCTCAGAGTGGCCTCGGTCGTGAGAATGGCCACCGACGTCCAGTTTATGCTTCGAAACAGGTCATTGGCAGTAAGAGTTAGCTGCCCGCAGCGCTGATGCACGTTATTGTTTTTCTCAGAGTGGCCTCGGTCGTGTGAATGGCCACCGACGTCCAGTTTATGCTTCGAAACAGGTCATTGGCAGTTGCAGTTAGCTGCCCGTAGCGCTGATGCTCGTTATTGTTAATCTCAGAGTGGCCTCGGTCGTGTGAATGGCCACCGACGTCCAGTTTATGCTTCGAAACGGGTCATCGGCAGTTAGAGTTAGCTGCCCGCAGCGCTGATGCACGTTATTGTTATCTTCAGAGTGGCCTCGGTCGTGTGGATGGCCACCGACGTCCAAGTTTATTCTTTGAAACAGGTCATTGGCAGTTAGAGTTAGCTGCCCCCAGCGCTGATGCACGTTATTGTTATTCTCAGAGTGGCCTCGGTCGTGAGAATGGCCACCGACGTCCAGTTTATGCTTCGAAACAGATCATTGGCAGTTAGAGTTACCTGCCCGCAGCGCTGATGCACGTTATTGTTATTCTCAGAGTGGCCTCGGTCGTGTGAATGGCCACCGATGTCCAGTTTATGCTTTCAAACAAATCATTGGCAGTTGGAGTTAGCTGCCCGCAGCGCTGATGCTCGTTATTGTTATTCTCAGAGTGGCCTCAGTCATGTAAATGGCCACAGACGTCCCATTTATGCTTTAAAGCAGAGCATTGGCAGTGAAATATTGTGTCGTTTTCTTAGACAAAGAAGAGCTTATTTGCAATCAAAATTTTATTTGCTGCGTAGCAAAGATGTTTGACAGCGGGAAGGGTCAATATGGACTCTGATGTCTTTGCTGTAGATGGGCTGCAAACTTTTGTTTTCGTGAAGTTGAAATCTATACTGGTGATTCAATGCACAGTGCAATGTATAGACCAGCTTAGACATTATCGCAACAAAAATAAAAAAGTTTGTCTGGTGGCTGCATATCGA